CTCGAAGATATGTTGTCTGGGGTCCAACTCGTCGAGTGCATGAACAAAACTCGGCGAGTTGGATGCATTTTTCCTTGGACTCGTCGAGTCCCTTCATGGAATCGGCGAGTCTGCTGGGTAGACAGCAACAAAACTCGATTTTTTCAGCTCCATTTGCAAGTATAACAAGAAAACAAGCCTAGGCTCTGATACCACTGTTGGGTTATGAGCATTCTAACACTCCTAAGTGTACATGCAACCCTAAATACCTTGGATCTATGTTTTCTCTATTATACATGAAAATATGAACATCCAAGGTATTATCCTAATCTAGCATACAAAACAATAATATAACAAGATAGAATACATACCTTTTGTTAGTGCTTGTCTTCATGAAGCTTGAGTGCCTAGTGCCCCAAGTGTGACACCTCAAATGGTTCACACAACACCAAATACACTTGGAATAACTTGAGAGAATTCTACACTTCATGAAATCGGCTAGCCCTCTCTAGAATAATCCTAGTGGCCGATTTTCAAGAATAAGATGCTTATATAGTTATACAATTAGGGTAAACCCTAATTGTCATGACTTTCCATTTCCTTGGATCCATGGGTTCAAATACACCATGGAGCATCCATGGAGCATCATATGGGTTTTGGCCCAACTAGATAATCCATGGAGCATTAGCCCACTATACAAGTATGGATGATTTACACAATCAACCCATATATTTAATTAGTCTTCTTTTGATCACTTAATTAATCCTAGATTAATTCTTGATCAATACTAATTAAATAATCTTATTATTCTTATTATTAATATACTAGAACTTATAATATATTAATAACCATAAGTGTCTTATTTCTCTCATTTTAGTCTATCCAAGTGCATGATGCCATGCAACCCAAATGGACCATGCCGGGTCGGGTCAAGTCTTACCAATTATAGTTATGGACTTAGACAGTAATCCAACATTGATACCATATGGATCATCGTCGATAGATTGACCAAGTCTGCATACTTCCTGCCTATCAAAGAAACTGACAAGATGGAGAAGCTTACGACAACATACATTAGGGAAATCATACGACTGCACAATGTTCCTATATCCATTATCTCTGATAGAGATAGTAGGTTCACTTCGAGGTTCTGGCAGTCACTACAAAGTTCCCTAGGAACGAGGCTGGATATGAGTACAACCTACCATCCTCAGACCGAAGGACAAAGTGAGAGAACCATCCAAACACTGGAAGATATGTTGAGAGCTTGTATGATCGACTTTGGAAAGGCATGGGATACTCACTTACCGCTTGTCGAATTTTCCTACAACAACAGTTATCACACGAGTATCAAGACTGCTCCATTCGAAGCCCTCTATGGCTGGAAGTGTAGATCCCCTCTGTGTTGGGATGAGGTGGGTGACACCCAGTTAGCTAAAGGACGATTTCCTGAAAGCACTCTTACATGTCTGGAAATCATTCGGGAAACGATGGAGAAGATCGTTCAAATTCCTGAATGATTGAAAGCCTCTAGAGACCGACAGAAAATCTACGCAGACAAGCGAAGGAAACCTTTGGAATTCCAGGTGGGTGACAGCGTTATTTTGAAAGTCTCACCCTGGAAGGGCTTGATACGCTTCAGAAAGCGTGGAAAGCTAAATCCAAGGTACATAGGGCCTTTCGAGATTTTTGGTAGAATTGGCCCTGTAGATTACAAACTCAATCTACCCAACGAACTTCGTAACGTACATTCTACATTCCACATCTCAAACTTGAAAAAGTGTCTGTCCGACGAGACTCTTGTAATCCCACTAGACAAGATCGAGATCAACGAGAGCCTCAACTTCGTGGAAGAACCCGTAGAGATCCTGGACCGTGAGGTCAAGCAGACGAAACAAAGGCGCATCCCGATTGTGAAGGTTCGCTGGAACGCCAAGCGAGGACCGGAATTCACATGGGAGCGCGAGGATCAAATGAAATTGAAATATCCTCATCTGTTCGCTTAGTTATTTGTAACTACTTTATTTGCTTAAACTTTAATTTCAGGACGAAATTCCCTTTAACGCGGGGATGATGTGACAACCCGAAATTTCCAATTGTACAAACCCTGAAGTTAATCACTTAAATTAAAAGTCAATTACTTTTATGCTAAATTCTTACCGGTTTAAAATGCGTTTGAGTATTTTAATAATTATTCTCGAAACGAACGGATAAAAAGGAATTAAATTCTAGGACATCGAGGCAATAATGGAACAATCAACTCCTTGGATTGGTGTTCACGGAAAAACTAAGTGAGTTTGGGCCATGGACTCCCTTAGGGCCGAACACTCACTGGCTTAAATGGGAGTTTACTCCCCAAACTCTTCCTTTCCAACTTCCACCCTCAAGTTTACTCCCCATTCTCTCTCAACTATCATCCCATCTTTCACCCGATCTCCTGAGAATGTAAGTGTTTCTCGACTTGATTTGTTGTTATAACATAACATCTAGTGTTTATACATCATTTCATCAATTCATTTTTGTGTTTTACTTAGATCTTCAAAACACCAAGAACACACACTAGTGTTCTTGGACTTTTAGCACCTTTTCAAGCTTCTATATAGTAAGTACTTCTATCCTAGAGTATTATAGAGCTTTTTACACTTCTAAACATCAAGAAAACACCCAAGAAACCAAGAATCAAAGGCGTTCACGGTCCAAGATGTTCTTGGACCGTAAACCCTAAAAAGGCGTGCCAAAGTGTGCCCTAATCCCTTCTAAGCCTTGGACACTAGCATAGATCCCTTCCTTGATGAGCTTAGCACTTGAAAACATCAAAAGACCATAAACCATATGGGTTTATGACAGTAAACCCAATGACAGATGGTCCAAGAAGGTAAACTCCTAAAAGGAGTGAAATGGTGCCCTAATCCCTTCCATAGGCTTATACTTCAAGTAGAAATGCTTCTAAAGACTTGTAGAGCTTCGAAACAACACGTGGTCAAAGAGGAATGAGATTACGACCGTAAACCCATGAGTTTACGATCGTAAACTCAATGAGTGATGGTCATAAGAACCATAAAATCAAATAAGGGCTTTCCTTGAACCCTAAACTCAATAGCAATGTGCTACAACACTTAGATGTAATCCTTAGGACTTATAGCACTTATAAAAGGTGGTTTACATGTCCTAGGATGTCTTAACTTTGTTAATTAGTTGTTTAAAAGACTAATTGGATACATATATGTGCTATTATATGTTAACTAGGATCATTGAGTGAGTACACGTCTTCACTTGACACTTAACATCCTATTCAGTCCGTTCATCCAAACCACTCACTACAGATGAGTTCATACCCCTTAATTAACCTTTGAAATTTTGTTAAATGTTTTAAATGCTTTATGGGAGAATACAAGTTGAACCATGTTAGTTATTAGATCAATCACATGTGATTAATAACTAACATGCAAATGGATTTTTGATGCTTTAAACTTTTTTATTGAACAAATGACTTCAAATTGTTTATCAAACTATTTTACACATCAAACTCTTTATCAAATTTACTTTTGTATACTAAACCTTTCCTTTATAGTTTTTAAACTTATATATTGTTAAAACCATGTCTACTACATATATAGTTATATAAAAAAGGTTTGAAGGACTTAGGAGAGATAACCCACTTTACTTCCTGTCCTTGTTTGGTTGTGGTCTTAAAGTACCCGGTTGTTTGTCCGAGTGTCGTTGAATCCTTACTTATATATTATGTATATATGTATAGATATAAAGACTTTTATATCAGTTCAGTACATTAAATCATTCAACAAGTTTACTAATAAACTATAATAGGTATAGTTTAGAGTTATACTACTTACTACTTCTAGTTCAACGAAGCATACAAGAGTCAGTTCATTCATGAGTCATTACTTATTACTATAAGAACATATACAACTATACTAAAATGAGAATATATACAACTATGCTAGAATGAGAACATATACAACGATACTATGATGAGTAACAATATATTATATATACAAGAATATGCTAACATAAATGTGATCCACTGTATCGGAGCATGCCTTCATTGTCATGGCCCGAGTTGTAGCTAGAATCTCCTGGAGGGAGAGCGTGAGTTTGCGTATAAATCTATACTGAATTGACTATCCTACACCTTGCTGCTAGCTATAGCCGGACCTGCAGGTCTGCGGGTTCCAAACGTCATACCTTTTAACGACTTACATTGTCGTGTTTTTCTGTCAATATTATGGTACAATTAATCACATAATACCTTGATATAAATTCGGTTTAAGGTAGTTAGTACAACAGTAGTTCCTATAATACAACGCTACAGTACTACATTAATTACCCTTTACATTTATTTGGTAATCATTTCACTTAAACATTAATGTACAAACTATATTGTGATAATGATACTTACACTTGGGAAAATTACACACTTTTACAAGAAACAAACATACAAAACAGTTGTGCCTTGGTAGAAGGCTACTTTTAATAGAAAATATAGGATTTTCTAGGAGTTTCAAACTTTTAAAAATACGTACAAACATTTACATACTTTTACTACAAACTGTTACAAACTCGTACTTCAAACGTTGTTCCAAATATTTTGATACAACCATAGACAATAAATACTTATGAACTCACCAGCTTTAATGCTGATAAACTCTTTTAAAATAACTTGTATTCTCAGGTCAGGTCATCAGTAGACTGGTACCGATGCTAGATTTTGAGAAGATGGAGCGCATTCAAGACTCATCTTAAATCCCGAATAAATATACAAATCAAGAATGCAATATATAAGTTAATTATCTAATCTAGTTATGTATGTAAAGGTTGGCCACTCCTAAATGTACCCCGATCACCTATGTTTAGTCTTGATTGAACCAAAAATTAACTTAATTAGGGTTAGATAAATGACAAAATAGAAACCAGACATACAATTAAAAAGCATACATAAGTATATTAGAAATATATGCCACAAAATAAGTTAAAAATAAGTATCAAAATACAACCTAAACAACCTACTTTCTACTCTCATACTGATCTTCATTTTCCTCCATGCTCTCCTCGCTATCATCAGTATCCCTGCGATGTATGCATTAATCGTCAACACCCATTATGACTAGTACCCCTCAGCTGAGCAAAAGGTGTAACAACAAGACCTGCCTAAGGAAAAAGTGGATAGTCCAGCCCTAGATGTTGCATCACCCTGACAATCAAAGTCATGATCTAGCGATGCTCCTCTTGTGCAGCTTTTAGACGCTGCATCACATTGCGTAGAGTTGGCTATGGATGGTCTGGATCGACATGCCTAGGTCTCTAACACCTCTTAAAGACATGCTTAGGGATATGCTCTGGCTCCACCTGTCAAATCGGCTCCACAATATCATCATTTAGAACAATCCACTATCGCCCAAATCCCCGAACCAACACCTACATCTTCCATAGAGAGGTACTACCTATGTATCTGATAGGAATAGGAACCATCTCACTAGTGTCAACCTCATAAGATAGGGCCAAACAAGTGACCCAATGATCCCCGCAAATCCTGCTCAAATGAATGGAACTTAGAGCCACACCAAATAAGTAAAGAGCAACATCAAAGGGACGATGTAGGAAAACCTCAATTTGGGTCAGACACCATATATAGGAAAGGTCGACAGAAGGAACCTTGTCACATTCCTCGCGGTGACAAATAGTAGAAGCGACTAGTTGGTGAATCAACCGATAAATAGGAGATGTAAAGGTGCTCTCCTTAGCTTTTCTTGGATCCCATAGCGTGACCCCAGACCTATAAATAGTCATACTCCTGTGGTGGATCAATAATACAAATGTCATGATAAGCATAAAAATTAGGACTCACATACTCCCCTACTGTATAAATCCCTAGACGTCTCCTCAACTCGATCAAGTTATAGGAGTGGAATATGCCTCCTAGGCGAAACGTAAAGACTAATATATCAGCCCATCTCATCGATGCCTTATCGAAGTGGACTGTCGAAAAGAACTCCCAATAGATCTTCTTATAAATCACCTCCCGAAACCCAACAACCTGCTGCCGTCTATGGCAGACAAAAAGCTTAAGACTGCTATCATCCCACAATACACGGGTAAGGAATGGCCCAAGCTGAGCCATCAACCCAAACTCGTCTGCATCCCTCCAGGAAAAAGCTTAAGGAACACTGATCCTCTTGGACAGAAGAGAGACTAGGCAAGAGACGAAGGAACTCCGATCAGAAAGATCATCGGGGAACCATAGGAATGGATGTGATGCCAGTTAGGAGGTAACTGACCTGCAGCTTATCGACCTCGTCTCGACATATCTGTAGAAAAATAGACAAAAGACAGTTAGGAATGAGTTAGATAAGATAAAAGCTGCAAAAAAAAATGTTGAAATGGACCACACGCGCAAAGGTGCACGCTGCATGCGAGTGCATGCAGCGCACATGCCTCTGCGTGACGTGCTCCAAGAACACAAAGAACAACAGGTTTGGAAAACCGATGTTTCGTCTAACTTTCAATGCAATAACCACGTAAGGATGTTCGAATAGGCTCCTAGAATACAAATAAGTAGTTCATTTATCCTTAAAATATACAAATTTAAGGATTTAGTTAAAAGTTTAGAAAAAATTTTAAAATATAAAAACTCAAAATGAGGATCAATGGATGAAATAAACTCGAAACTGAGTATCTTGGAAGAAAAATGGGTAGTATAGCTAGCTGGATTACTCATCCATTTCACAAAATTTGACCAAAATCCCAAAAAATGCAAGAACCTCCAAAAAGCCCTAAAACAAGAAATTAAGCCTAAATAAGAGATATGATTAAGTATGCAGGATACCTGGGAGTAGAGGAGTCGAAAGAGATGCAAAAGTTAAAGCTTGATAGCAAGAGTGCGATGCGTGCATCGTGCATGTGGGACCCAATCAAGATAGAAGAAGGGAGACCAGAGGAATGTTAGAAAAGTGTATAAGGAGGCCAAAAATCAACTTTAATGTTGATCTGCTGCAGGTGCTCAGGAAGCACATCGTGTGCCCAAAGATCATGTTCAAATTTTATGAAAGCTGTCACTTTTTATCCAAAAGAATTTATAATCATGATATTAAAAACCTTTAGGAGTTTAATCTGTTTAGAAGACTAAGGGAAAGGAAGAGAGATTTCCTTGGAATAATAAGAAATTTCCATTCATAATAAGTGTTGCTAGGAAAACAACAATAACATGTTGTAATAAGGGAGAAAACAAAATTAAAAGAAAAGATACATAGGATAGAAGTAAAGTATTTATTTAATAAGCGATAAAAAGACAAGTTGCTATGAAAGAAACTATAGTACCCTAAAAATGGAAAAGGTAGTATTATCCCAGTAAATAAAGGATTGAAAGATAACCCGATTAGTTAAACATAGGAATAGTAAGTAACCTTCTTGCTGTCATTTCAGGATAACAACCCTTTGATGCTAACCTTGATTGACCCCACCATCATTCAGACCATGATTAAGTGTCAAGTTCCAGATGTGTTAGGGAATCTCAAAGCAAGTAAGAATTAGTGAAACAATAAGGAAGGTAGTCAAATGACAAGAACATATCGTGATTTTATTAACAGCAAGACGAGAGATTCTTGTAGAGACAGGGGATAGATTGTTTGATCTACTTGATAAATAGATAGAGAGCAAGTGTGTTGGTGAACATAGAGTTAAGTTTGCAACATGCACATTTATAGGAATAGCTATCTTCTAGTGGAATATCCAGGTCAAGGCTTTAGGCATATGAAAAGCCTATACAACCCCCTGGGAAGAGCTAAAGAAGCAGATGATAAAGGAATTCCGTTTTAGAAAAGACATGGCACAAGTGGAGCAGGATTCAGTCATCTTAGCACCAAGGAATCAGGCCCGGCCTTCTGTATGGTAGGCTTTGATTACCTAGTCAACATAGGCCCTGAGTTGGTTAACTCATAGATCCAGATGATCAATGCATACCTATAAGGGTTAGCTCCCCATACTAGGATCGAGGTGCAAGCACACCGGACCAATACCTATGAGTAAGCTAAATAATTAGCCATTAGTCTCAAGGAATCGATGACCCAGAGCTCAAGTAGTAAGAAGAAGTCCAAAGAATTTAAGAACAATTCAAAAGGAACCACCAAGGGCAAATATGGTCAACCCTTGTGGAAGGAAAGTGAGTAAAGAAAGCCTTGTGAGAGACTACCCACTCCACTAAGGGGATACTTGGGAAGACTCCCCTTTTGTAGTAATTATGGACTTCATCATCTAGGAAAAAGTGAGGAGTTTAGGTGTAATAACCGTGGAAGACCAGGACACATCGAAAATGTTTGCAGGAATCAATCGGGCCAGTAAAATGTTTGCAGGAATCAATCGAGCCATCGAAATTATTTGCAGGAATCAATCGAAAATGTTTGCAGGAATCAATCGAGCCAGTAAAAAGGATATGTTGGGTAGAACATGGGTAGATAGTTGGTGTGTAATAAACAGATGAGAGGCCTCGATGTTGTTGTTGTTGTCGACCTAGTTATTCAGCGGAGTATGGATAACGACCACAGACTCCTTCTAGACAATCTCGTGGAATGCTAGCAGGTTCATAACATGTAGGTGTTGTGAACGATGTGTTCACCGGTGTACTCTATACCCCTCATGGTTGCCTTTAGGATATCTATTGTTGAGGAAACCCCTTAGCAGTAATGTCCGTCCCGATGAAAATCCTAGATTAGGTCCCTTGAGATAGATGTTGTTTTAGGGATGTAAAGTGAGGATAACGGGAATGGGTAATCCGGATAGTGATTGGTTGGTGAAATTAAATATAATTTATTTATTGTGGGTTGAAAACCCTATATGCTCACCAGGCTCCCAAGCCTGACCCACTCAGTTTTATTTGTATTACAGGAAGTGGCGCAAGGGCGTAAGATGGATGAACCATCAAGATTGTTTTGTTTACAAGTTTGTATATGTATATATTTGTTGAATGACTTGTAATGTTATCGTTTATGCTTATTGGTCTGTATCGGAACATGACACCCCGAGTTTTGATTATATAATGAAAAATACATTTCTTTTATGAAATGCTTTGGTAAACATTGTTTTATCATGTTTTGTTTTTGGGAACAAATTCCGCAACTCTTTCAAATCAAAAGGATTTACTCTGAAATTATTTTAGAAGCATAAATGAAAATTGGTCTTTTCTGGCCGTGATTTTGGGGATGTCACAGGTCTCCTTGCCTCACACCTATTTCCATTGAGAACTCCTTGGTTGGAACAACGTTGACAAGCATGGATGCTCTAGGCGACTTTATACACCCCCTGATCCACAAACTTCCACTTCTCTCCAAATCCCATTTGAGTAAGTATCGAGTCAATTAGTCCCAATTTACTAAGTCAAAAGCTTTGTCAAAGTAAACCTTGAAGAGAAAAATCTTTTTGTTGACCTTTTTTTCCCAGGTACATACTTCATTCACAATTAAAGGTCCATCAAGTATATACCTGCCTTCCACATATGTCGAATGTACTTCGTCAATACAATGCCTAATAACCCTTTTGAGGCGAGATGCCAGTATAGTGGAGATGATTTTGGACAGACAACCAATCAAGCTGATTGGTCGAAAATCACTGTAAAACAATGGATCTTTGGTCTTTGGAATCAGAGAGATAAAAGAAGAGCTACAAGAAGAATCAAGCCTTGCAAATCTTTCAAAATATTAGATAAAAAGGGCGATGTCCCCAAACATAATATCCCAATATCCCTTGATAAACTTAAAAGTAAACCCATCAGGGCCTGGAGCCTTTTTACTGCACACGCCCATACTGCATCCTTGATTTCGCCCAAAGAAATGGGTTATTCTAAATAGTTACTATCAGCCTGAGAGATACGCGAAATAGGGGATTTGAAAACATGGGCCTGTGTGGCCATTTTTCTTTAAACTTATTTTGGAAAAATCGGTGCGTTAAGCTTTAATTTCAATTGGATTTGTGTTCCACGTACCATTAATCATGATCCCCATGATATTATTCTTTCTGATCCTAGTGTTTACCCAACCATGGATGTAGCTTGAGTTTTCATCACCATCAATGGCCCAACGGATCTTCGACTTCTTCTTAGGATCAAGGCTATTTAATCTTTCTAGTTCAATGATTTTCTTGAAACTGTCTCTCCTGTATGCTTTTTTTGGTGTCGTGAGAGCTCTAGATTTAGCTATGAGGTCTAAAGCCACCATCTTAGTCTCCACTGATTTAAGTTCTTCAACCTCCTTTGGATGATCTACAACCTTCTATTCCTTAATTTTAGTCTTTAGATGTTCGAGTTTGGCAGCGAACATGCAGTCTGTAGTACCAAAACCACGGAAATGGAGCCACACACTTGTCATAATATTCGGGAAGCCATCCCTATCCATCCATGAGTTAAAAGCAGAATGGAGTCAGGCCAAAATCAAGTGATGTAGATGATAAAAGAACTGGACAATGATAAGAAGTTTCTGTAGGAAGGGTTGTGACCATGACATTGGAAAAAATGGATAAGAAATCAGAGCATACCAAGAATCTGTCAAACTTACTAAGTTTTAGGTCGTTATGACAAAAGTACGTAAACCTGTGTCCGCCCATTTTTAGATCGTTCAAACCCCCCATCATGGATGAATCTGTTAAATCCCATTGCAGTGGGTGTGCAAAAGTTTGAATTAAACCTTTTCTCAGCTCTTGTAACCTCATTAAAGTCTCCTAATAGTACCCATATTCCTTTTCTGCATTCTATGAGGTTTAGAAGATCAGCCCACAGTTTCTCCTTATTCGGGATGGCCTGAGGACCGTAGATATTTGATAGAATGATATGTTTGTCACTTCCAAACCAATTACCAATATTGATAAGATAACAACAAAGTTCGATAACATCAATTGAGGTGAATACAAGAGGATCCCAAATGTTAATTAAGCCTCTAGATCTCCCAGTTGGGTGAACTTTATCTGCATCCCACTGGTCAGAACCTCAACAATTAGCCACGTTTATATTGTTTGCATCCGCAAGTTGGGTCTCTTGAATACCAATGAACGAGAGTTATGTGATCTGACCAATCTGCTAACCCACGCCGTTTTATGATCTTCCCCTAGCACATGAACATTTAAAGTTATAATTTTCAT